AGAAATATCTTTGCCAAATTTTATCGAGATCGGTTCAGATTTGGATATAGCTCTCATATATATTTTTATACGATTTCAAATTAATTGTGCACCAAATCGGCAATACAATTCCGAATTTAAAAGATACAAATGCTTCGGCATATTTAGTCCTTTGAACTTTAAATTATAATTATAATCATGATTGAATTCTCCCATAAAAACTTTTAATTGTTATGCGAAGCTCTACTAAATTAGCAAAGTGGTGTAGGGTATCATAAAGTCGGCCCCGCCCGACTTTAAGACTTTCTTTACTGTTTTTTTTTTTTTTTTTTGAATTGACAAAATTAAACCTAAATTGTTACCGAAATAGTTAGACGATGAATAACGTCAGCTGTTACGTCAAAAGACATTGTCAATAAACAATGGAATTATTTTGGAAGTTTAGTGGGTGGAGGGCTTGATAGAGGTGTACTCAGGTGCCGGTTATATGTTATGTTACCACCACCACAAGGGGAAGGGTATTATAGTTTATATCCCATTAGATACAGGTTGCTATTTATTACCAAAATTTATATCCGTTAAGATAAATAAAGAAATTAATTAGTAGAGACAAGAAAGTTTGAAGGACACTTTTACAGTAAGCTGATTCTATTGAAAGCTATAATAAATATGCGAAATCATAAATTATATGCGAAAACATAAATTCCATATTCACCTCAGGTTTCTGGTTGAGAGAAATATTCAAACATAGCGTAAAGAATCGCTGACTTGTTTCACAAGTTATGACAGATAAAAGTATTGAAAATTCTGACCCTTTGTGGGTGAGGCACCAGAAGGGGCTCGCAGATATATGTCTTCTTCACAACAGATCTTGTACAAGAAGGAGTCGACCGATATCTCCAATTCCAATTCCACAGAAGACCTTGGGTTAATAAAAATATTGTGATGTGTGTAATTTAAAGAGAAACGAATGATTATTTCGGATTTTATGATAGTTTTAGTTATTCAGAATGTTGACCCTTTGTTAGGATTGAACCGATATATCTTCATGTTCACACTAGATTTTGAGTTTATAAGAATATTGTGATGTGTGTAATTTGAAGACAATCGGACACTTAGATCACATTTTATAAGAGTTATAATTATTCAAAATTTTTACCCTTTATTGAGGAGGTACTTGATGGAGTGGACCGATATTGTCTATTTACACCTGACCTTGCAATGACGCAAATATTAGAATTTGCAAAGTTGGAGCAAAATCGCTTTCTGTGCAGAATTTTTTTTTTTTTTTTTTAAATATTTAACCTTTGTGGGGGATTTACAAGAAGGAGTAGCCCATATCCGAACTCGATCTAAGTTTGACAATAATATTACGATGAATCAAGTTTGGACCGAATCGGATAATCCCCTCGAGGGTTATCGTGCGCAAAAGCCAGACAGACAGACGAACGTACGTACGGGCGGACATCGCTAGATCGACTCCTAGTGTCTAAAACCGTTATTTCGATGAGGCACGTTTTGGCCGCATCAAATGATGTATACCCTCTACAGACGTATGGCCGAGGATATAAAAATTTTTTAACATATCATTTTGATTCTTAAAAAAAAAAATTTCTTTGCCAGAGAGTTCATGAAACTATTAAACATGTAAAAAGCAGCTATGTTCGGCCGGGTCGAATTTTTAATGCATTTTGGCATTTTGGTTAGAAAAAAATACAAAGCGTTTTTTTAAGGAAAGATTTTTAGCCATTTACGCTTTTCTGGTTTTTAATTACGCTTCTAGCTGTCAAAATGTTGGCAGCAATGCCTCCACCATTTTGAAGAATTTTGAAAAATTTCAAAAAAAATCCATCGACAAATACCGCTGTAATAAAAACCGTTAAGTGGGGGCTATACGAAGACCTTGACCTGCATAGACATTTTTCTTTCATAGACTAAAATTCGCATTACGAACCCTTAATACGAAATTGGAAACAACTCCGGTGAATAATGTCGCTAAAATCATAAAAATCCGCAATTCTTGTCAAAGGCTGTAATACCCATTACGAAGTCTAAATACGAAAGTTTAAACAACTCCGGCGAAAAATGTCCCTAAAATTTTCAAAATATAAAATATCAGGGGGTACCGTTGTTTGTGGGCTAAACTATATCGTCGACCTATATGGACAATACTCTTCCAGGAGGTAAAATACTTAGAAGAAACTTCTATTTCGAATTTCCAGAAAGTTTTAATGGAAAATTAGGATACAAACATCAAAATACAGAATTCCGTGGTGGGCGATACCGTTATATGGGGGCTATACGATATTGTGGACCTATATAGACAATTCTCTTTCAGAAGGGTAAAGTACTCAAAAGAAACTCCTTGTGTAGAATTTCAGAAAATTCCATTAAAAAATGTGGCTAAAATCATCAAAATACCGGGGTTCCGTTATATGACCTGTCTGTAGACAAAAGACAGATCTGTGCAAAATTTTAGCTTCCTGTCTTAATTCGGTTTGACTCTAGCGTTATTACAACAAACGGACAGACGGACGGACAGGGCTAAATCGTCTTAGATTTTTTCACTGATCAAAAATATATACACTTTGTTAGGTCTACAATTATTGTTTCAATTATGAGTGAGGGTAAAAAAAAAACGTGAAATCGGATGAAGATATATATATATATGTGGGTGCTATATCGAAATCTGAACCGATCCCTATAAAATTTCCTAGAGCTATTTCTATGCTGTATCTAATAGCTGGGACCAAATATCATTGTTGTGAGGAACTTTAATACAAAATCGGATGAAACATATATGTGGGAGCTGCAGCTATATCCGAACCAATTTTCACCAAATTTGGAATACTTGCTTCTAGACTGAATTCGGTCGGAAGTGCCAAAATTTTCTCGATTTGGACTGATATTAAACATCTGATGCACAATAAACTTGAAATTGAGTAAAGTTATATATGGGAGCTCTATCCAAATCTGAGCCGATCTCGATAAAATTTGGCAAGGGTATTTCTGAGCTGTATTCGATATATTTCCCACAAATATCGTTGTTATGGAATGCATATTACGGCTATGGAAGATAAAACTTAACAAATCCGATTAACAATATATATGGAAGCTATACCTATATCTGTCCCGATATCCACCAAATTTGACATACTGATTTCCAGGCTGAATGTGGTTGTAAGTACCAAATTCTATCCTATTGGGACCAATATTACACATTTGGTACACAATAACATACGAATCGGACGAAGATATATATGGGAGCTATTTTTAAAATTTAACCGATTATCTCCAATTTTAAAAGGATCCGTCCTTATGCCACACAAAATCATTGTGCAAATCGATCGGGCAATAGATGCGACCTGTATTTTATTTACAAAAATGCATGGACAGCCGGCGGACGGACAGACGGACATGCATAAATCGGCACAGAATGTGATTCTATGCGGATCATCAAAAGGAACTATGGGCCTATCTCGTTTCCTTCCCCATGTAACAAACAAATGCACAAAAACATAATACCCTGACCACCTTGTGGTGTAGGGTATAAAAATAGGCTTTCTATGCCACTGGGAGCCTGTGCGAGGTATTCGAGACCTGAAGGGCATATAAGAGGTCTTTCGTCTCCAAATCATATTATTACAAAACAAGTAAAAAAACATTAAGTTCGGCCGGGCCAAACTTTTAATACCCTCCACCTTAGGGTAAAGGAAACATTAGAAGAAATGTGGCAAAAACCATTAAAATGCCGAATATCGGGAGGTACCGTTATATGTGGGCTCTACCAAATCGTGGGCCTACACATGCAAGGTTCCGCCAACGGAGCTAGAACCCATTATGACCTACAAATACCAATTTTCAGACAAATACGTGAAAAAAAGGGGCAAAAATCATCAAATTACCGAATATCGGGAGGTACCGTTATATGGGGGCTATACCAAAACGTGGACCTATAATTACAATGACTCGCCACACGAACTGGGACCCATTATGATCTACAACTACCAAATTTTCAGTGAAATTCGTGAAAAAATCAGTAAAAAATCATCAAAATACTGAATATTGGGAGCTACCGTTATATGGGGACTATACCAAAACGTGGACCTATACATACAATGTTTCGCCACACGAACTAGGACCCATTATGACTCACAAATACCAATTTTTACACAAATCAGTGAAAAAATGTTGCAAAAACCATCAAAATACCGAATATCGGGAGGTACCATTATATGGGGGCTATACCAAATTATGGACCCATACATGCAATGTTTCGCCACCGGAGCTGGAACTCATTATGACCAACAAATACCAATTTTTAGACAAATCCTTAAAAACTGTGGCAAAAATAATCAAAATATCGAATATCGGGAGGTACCATTATATGAAGGCTATACCAAAACGTGGACCTATACATGCTATGTTTTGCCACACATACAGGGACCCATTATAACCTACAAATACCAATTTTCAGACAAATCCGTTAAATAATGTGGCATAAATCATCAAAATACCGAATATCGGGAGGTACCGTTATATGGGGACTAGACACAATTCCAATTGCTCTGCTAAATTTTGACGCTCTACGTCAAATAATGTGGGCTGTATCGTGATTTCAACAGACAGACAGACAGACAGACAGACGGACATCGTTAAATCGACTTAAAATTCTAAGCTGATTATGAATATATATACTTTATGGGGTCTACGACGAATATTTAAGGATGTTACAAACGGAATGACAAAGTTAATATACCCTCCTTTCCAAGGTGGAGGGTATAAAAACACTGTTAAGAATCTCATATTAATGTAACAGACTCCTATTGGGTCTCCTTTTGAAAAATCTCTTAGATCTCTCTCACTGCAGCTCTCTCATTTACCTCCTCCTTCTCCTCACAAAAATTCCAACATCTCCCCCCTTCCTCAAATTCCCATAATGTGTTAATATGTCATTGAATTAATTTATTAACATAAATATCGAATTTCGAAAAAATAACTGTCACTAACAATTTACTTACCGGTCGACTGCAGTGAAGATGCTATCGCTGATGGCAAAAGCAATGCAACGACTAAAAACGGTATTAGCCGGCAATGCTTGAAATCCTGCATTTCCCCTTCGTCTTCTGTGGTAGCAGCTTCAGTTTGAATGGCCTTAAATGAAGAGAATAGCCGGCGTGAAGTAATGCAGAATAGCTGCCAAACAAAAGTTGTTGTTGTGGTTGTTGTTGAGGTTGCTGTTGAGAGTTGGCTGGCTAGCTGGCTGTCTGTCTGTCTTATTAAGGCCAGTGGAAAATGGGATTAATGTACGAATAAGTACGTCACGCCGGTGTTTTTTCTCTTTCTGACACAAATATTACAAATTTGCGGCAAAACCAATAACAACAGCAGAGATAAGAAATGTTACCGGCGTTGATGTTGTTGCTGTGGGGTTGGCGTTGAATATTGAATAGCTTAAAATTATTGGAGAAATGTGTGGGTATTTGGTTGGGAAAAATACCAGTAAATTCTTTAGTCAGTCTTCAGGCATAGAATGGGCGATCAGTGACAATTATTGAAATCTGAAAAGAAAATTAAATATTTATGATTTTTTGTAATAAATTTAATAAAAACCAGTAAAGGAAGTCTTAAAGTCGGGCGGGGCCGACTTTATGATACCCTACACCACTTTGCTGATTTAGTAGAGCTCCGCTAACAATTAAAAGTTTTTATGGGAGAATTCAATCATACACGCTATGATTATAATTATAATTTAAAGTTCAAAGGACTAAATATGCCGGAGCATTGGTATCTTTTAAATTCTGAGTTGTATTGCCCATTTGGTGCACAATTAATCTGAAATCGGATAAAAGTATATATGGGAGATATATCCAAATCGAAACCGATCTCGATAAAATTTGGCAAAGATATTTCTGAGCTCTATTTGATATATTTCCCTGAATATCGTTGTTACGGAGTGCATATTACGGCTGTGGGTAACAAATATGACAAATCGGATGAACAGTATATATGGGAGCTATAGCTATATCTGAACCGATCTTCACCAAATTTGACATACTAGCTTCTAGACTCAGTTCGGTCGTAAGTGCCAAATTTCATCCAATTTGGGCAAATATTAGACGTTTGGTGCACAATCAAATGTAAATCGGACGAAGTTATATGTGGGAGCTATATCCAAATCTGAACCGATCTCGATAAAATTTAGCAAATGTATTTCTGAGCAGTATTTGAGAAATTTCACCAAATATTGTTGTTACAGAGTGCATATTACGGCTGCGGAGGACAAAAATAACAAATCGGATGAACAATATATATGGGAGCTATAGCTATATCTGAACCGATTTCGATGAAATTTGGCATACTTATTTTGAGGTCCAATCTGATCGTATACGCGAAATTCCATACTATTCGGTCTGATATTACACGTTTGGTGCACAATAAAAGCAAATCGGACGAAGATATATATGGGAGCTATATCTAAATTTTGACCGATTATCTCCAATTTCAATAGGGTTCGTCCTTGGGTCAAACAAATGATTTGTGCAAAATTCCATACTATTCGGACTGATATTACACGTTTGGTGCACAATAAAAGGCAAATCGGACGAATATATATATGGGAGCTATATCTAAATTTTGACCGATTATCTCCAATTTCAATAGGGTTCGTCCTTGGGCCGAACAAATGATCTGTGAAAAATTTCATCTGGATCGGGCAATAAATGCGACCTGTACTTTGTTTACAAAAATACATGGACAGACGGACGGACGGACATGCATAAATCGACTCAGGATGTGATTCTATGCAGATCATCAAAAGGAACTATGGGTCTATCTCGTTTCCTTTTGCCTGTTACAAACAAATGCATAAAGACATAATACCCTGACCACCTTGTGGTGTAGGGTATAAAAATAAAAATAAATAAAAAATACTGAAATATTAAAAAAATATGTTTTTGGAAAATTTTTTACTTTTGGAGAAGTATGTTTTTATACTCTCCACCAAATATACATTTCAGACCCCACGAAAATTCTCGGTCAGCATAAAATACTAGGTCTTCCTATCTGGCTTTCTGTGGAAATCATTTTAGCTTCCGAGCGAAATAAAGTGTGTTCATACAATTTTACTCAGACGAGTTTTAGGCCATATGGACATTTGGTGTTGAAAGTGGGTTATATGGGCCCACGTTTTCATATAGCCCCCATACAACCGCCGCCCTATATTCGGTATTTTGATGATTTTAGCTAGATTTTTAACAGAATTTGGAGTAATAAGCATGATCTTCTCTAACCTCTGGCTTAAGAGGTCCACGTTTTCGTATAGCCCCATATAACTGTAAAATATTCGGAGTTCTTACAATTATAGAGTTGTTTTTCATCGGATTTTTAGCTTTTGCATCTTCCTTCGAAATGGTGATTTTTTTCTTCGACTTATGGTCCTTGGAGGTTATAAAAACTGCACCATACATAGTATGGAGGGTATTTTAAGTTCGTCATTCTGTTCGTAACTTATCGAAATAATAATTTTAGGCCCAACAAAATATATATACAGGGTGAGATAAAAAACTGCAATAAACTCAAATGTCATAATCTTTATATTTTTTCAAAATTTATTGAATGAAACCAAAAAACTCGGAAAATACCGAATATCGGGAGTTACAGTTATATGGGGGTTATACGATATCGTGGACCTATATGGACAATTATTTTTCAGGAGATAAAGTAATCACGAGGAACTCTTTGTGACAATTCCATTGGAAAATGTGGTTAAAATCGTCAAAATACCGAATAATCAAATTTTAGAATAAGTTTAGATTTGTTCGAATTGGTCACCTTTGGCACGAATTATGGCCTTCAAACGGCCAATGAAACTGTTACACGGTGCCCGAATGTTGCTCTGCGGTATTTTGGCTCATTGCCGGCGAAGCGTTTGCTTGAGGTGATCGACACTTTGGTATTTTTTAGTGCCAACCTTGTTTTCAAAAACACTCCAAACACAATAGTCCAGCGGTTTGGAATCCGTAGATTTTGGTGGCCATTGTGTGTTAGAAATGAAACGAGGAACCTCTTTTTGTAACCATTTTTAGGTGGTGGCGCGTTCTGAGTGCGATGGTGCTGAGTCCTGTTGGAATGTCCAAGGTCTGCGGCCAAAACGTTTAGCGTGCCCAAGGCTTTAATACACCCTCCAAAATATTTTCGTGATAATATTCAGCATTTATTCTGATGCCACGGTCGATTAACATGGAGAAAGCGGAGAGCGACCATTGGCTGTTATGGCTGCCCACACAATCACCATGGCCGGCGCTTAAGTTCTGGTGGCCAAGCGAAGGTGCACATTTTCAGCTGACCTCTTTGGCAAGTAAAAACGATCATTTTGTTAGTTTACAAAGAGAGAGAGAGAGAAAACCAAATTCGGTAGTTCACCACTTTCGGCCAAGTGAAGCAACTCTTTAGCTCTTTTGGTTCTATTTTCTTTCTGCTGCGGCGGTGTAAGTTTTTGCACTTTTTGGAATTTCAAAGGCTTTACCCGGAGCTCATTTTTAAATATTTGCCGAACGGAATATTGCGATATGTTCAGAGCTCACGAGCCATTTTTTGGCCACTGCGACCCGGATTTCGAACAAGTCGCTTCTTTATTTTTCGAACCATTTCTGCTGATGTTGCTGTTTTCTTCCCTCCACTTCCTTGACATCGGGCTACACTACCAGTATCACGATTACGAGCGATGGTACGAGACACAAAAGATTTATTCACATTTAAATGCTAGAGTTCTCTAACGATAGCCACTTGTCGTTTTCCAGCCAAATATAAAGAAATCAGACTATCACGCTTGAATTCCGAATTCACGAATAACTTTTTTTCTGGGAAATTCTCACGAAAATGCTTATGTACGATTATAAACAATATAATGAGCTGTCACTGGAATAATTTTAACATCTGTCGGACGAGTGGCTTAGAAATGTCAGCAGTCTGAATTTGGTTGCAGTTTTTTCATCTCACCCTGTATATATTCTTGGTCAGCATAAAATTCTAAGACGATTAGGCATCTGTCCGTCTGTTGTAATCTCGCTAGAGTCCAAACGAATAAAGACAGGAACCTAGAATTTTGTATGGTATCGAATAGCCCCCATATATTCGGTATTTTGATGATTTTAGTCACATTTTTCAATTGAATTGTCTGAAATTCTACACAAGGAGTTCCCTCTTCGTACTTTACTCCCTGGAAGAGAATTGTGTATATACGTCTACGTTTCAGTATAGCTTATCCCAAGATATTGAGTATTTCCAGGATTTTCGTGACATAATTTACCGAAATTGCGTAAAATTTCGTATTTGAAGTTCGCAATGGATACTACAACCTATGACGGAAAATTGTCTATGCAGGTCTATAAAAAATAAAAATCTAATATTATTGGCTCAATTTTTTTTTTTTTTTGAAAAATGTAACAATTATTGATTTAAAAAAAAAATTTAAGAAATATTTCTTAAAAGTCGACGCTATCGGTTTTTGACCATAAGTTTTGTATACCCTACACCACAAGGTGGTCAGGGTATTATCTCTTTGTGCATTTGTTTGTAACAGGCAAAAGGAAATGAGATAGACCCATAGTTCCTTTTGATGATCTGCATTCTGAGTCGATTTTTGCATGTCCGTCCGTCCGTCTGTCCATGTATTCTTGTGAACAAAATGCAGGTCGCATTTATTATCCGATTGAGATGAAATTTTCAAAACAAGATTTATTTGGCCCAAGGACGAACCCTATTGAAATTGGAGATAATCGGTAGAAATGTAGATATAGCTCCCATATATATCTTCGTCCGATTTGCCTTTTATTGTGCACCAAACGTGAAATATCAGTCCGAATACTATGGAATTTTGCACGCACGATCAGACTGGACTCAAAATAAGTCTGCCAAAATTGATTGAAATCGGTTCAGATATAGCGATAGCTCCCACATATATTGTTCATCAGATTTGTTATTTTTGTCCTCCGCAGCCGTAATATGCATTCTGTAACAACAATATTTGAGGAAATATATCAAATACAGCTGAGAAATACATATGCTGAATTTTATCGAGATCGGTTCAGATTTGGATATATCTCTCCCATATATAACTTCGTCCGATTTACCTTTTATTGTGCACCAAACGTCTAATATTTATTCGAATGGGATGCAATTTGGTACTTACGACCGAATTGAGTATAGAAGCTAGTATATCAAATTTGGTAAAGATCGGTTCAGATATAGCTATAGCTCCCATATATATTGTTCATTCGATTTGTTGTATTTGTTACCCACAGCCGTAATATGCACTCCGTAACAACGATATTCAGGGAAATATATCAAATACAGGTCAGAAATATCTTTGCTAAATTTTATCGAGATCGGTGCCGATTTGGATATAGCTCCCATATATATCTTTATCAGATTTCAAATTAATTGTGCACGAAATGGGCAGTACAAGTCCGAATTTAAAAGATACAAATTTTTCGGCATATTTAGTCCTTTGGACTTTAAATTATAATTATAATCAAAGCGTGTATGACTGAATTCTCCC